GCGGCCACATCCAGCCCCGCTATCGCGGGGCACCCCAGGGATGGCGATGGGGAGGAGGGACACGTTCCTTCCCGCGGCGGCAGGGGAAGAGGCCCGGCACGGTGTGTGCCGCAGCCACCGCACCCCCGGCTCTGCCTTCCCCGAAACGGCGGTGGGGCTGAGCAGCAGGCCTGGGCAGGCAGGGCTCCGTGTCCCGCCATCCCTGGGCGCCCGCCATCCCCGCTCCTCCCTCCCGCCCCAGGCTGGCCCGGCCCTGCCGTGGGAACAAGGCTGGGACGGCTTGTCTGCCTGCGCGGTGGTTGTCTGCCTGTACGGTGGCTTGTCTGCCTGTGCAGTGGCTTGTCTGCCTGCACGGTGACTTATCTGCCTGCATAGTGGCTTGTTTGCCTGCATGGTGGCTTGTCTGCCTGCGTGATGGCTTGCCTGTCTGCATGGTGGCTTGCCTGCCTGTACGGTGGCTTGCCTGCCTGTACGGAGGTTGTCTGCCTGCGCGGTGGTTGTCTGCCTGCATAGTGGCTTGTCTGCCTGTATGGTGGCTTGTCTGCCTGGGCAGTGGCTTGTCTGCCTGCACGGAGATTGTCTGCCTGTACGGTGGCTTGTCTGCCCGTGCAGTGGCTTCTCTGCCTGCGTGGTGGCTTGTCTGCCTGTATGGAGGTTGTCTGCCTGTACGGTGGCTTGTCTGCCCGTGCAGTGGCTTCTCTGCCTGCGTGGTGGCTTGTCTGCCTGTATGGAGGTTGTCTGCCTGTACGGTGGCTTGTCTGCCCGTGCAGTGGCTTCTCTGCCTGCGTGGTGGCTTGTCTGCCTGTATGGAGGTTGTCTGCCTGTACGGTGGCTTGTCTGCCCGTGCAGTGGCTTGTCTGCCTGCGTGGAGGTTGTCTGCCTGCGCGGCAGCCCAGCCCAGGGTGCTGTGCCAGCCTGTCCCCTGCATCCCACCACGGACCACGGCTTTCCCGGCAGGGAACGCTGCACGTCAGAGCAGCTCTGCCCGCAGCTCTGCCCGCAGCTCTGCCCGCAGCTCTGCCCGCACGGCTC